CCTGCCCTCGCCTGCCCTCACCTGCCCTCCCCTGCCCTCGCCTGCCCTCCCCTGCCCTCCCCTGCCCTCCCCTGCCCTCCCCTGCCCTCACCTGCTCTCCCCTGCCCTCGCCTGCCCTCACCTGCCCTCCCCTGCCCTCACCTGCCCTCCCCTGGCCTCACCTGCCCTCCCCTGCCCTCATCTGCCCTCACCTGCCCTCCCCTGCCCTCACCTGGCCTCACCTGCCCTCACCTGGCCTCACCTGCCCTCACCTGCCCTCCCCTGGCCTCCCCTGCCCTCCCCTGCCCTCACCTGGCCTCCCCTGCCCTCACCTGGCCTGTCTCATTCGCGCAGGTGTCCCGGTGTCAGCAGTGCTCCTGGAGACCCAGCCCCAGGGGGGACAGGTGCTTGCGGGGGAGCGTCTGGTCCTTGTCTGCTCCGTGGCTGAAGGCACAGGGAACACCACATTCTTCTGGCACAGAGAGGACACAGGGCAGAGTGTGGGGAGCAAGCGCCAGCGTTCCCAGAGAGCGGAGCTGGAGATCCCTGCCGTCGGGGGGAGCCATGCGGGGCGCTACTACTGCACAGCAGACAATGGCCACGGCCTGGCCCGCAGCAGGACCCTGATCGTCACCGTCGCAGGTGAGACTGAGTCTCCGTGGACCCTGTCCACGCTCCATGTTCTCAGGTGAGGGCGGACACAGCCAACCCTCCTGGTGATTCTCCTCTTTCTGGCGCCATTTGGCCACCTTCCATGGCGATACGCAGTCTCTTCACACAGATATTAACGCTCAGGTTACAGTGAGGTTCTCCAGTGAGGGGTGCCGGCCAGGAGCCTCCTCACGCCCTGGAGACGGTTGTGTGCGTCCGTAGTGTGCTCCATTGTGTGTTGACGTCAAAGAGCAACGTTAGCCGGTTAACCGCGCTGCAGGGTTCTCGCCGCTCCGTGAGTCTTCGCGGCTTGGGGCACCCCTGGGTAGATGTAAAACCCCACTCTCCTACTTGCCTAGGCCAAAACTCAGGGCTTCGTTCTTGACTCTTCTTCTTATTTTGTCTTCCACATTGAATCCACCTGCCAGTCCTGCTGGCTCTACCTGCAGGATATAGCGAGGATGTGACTCATTCCCCCCACTTCCACTGCCACCCCCTGGCCCAAGCCACCAGGGCTCCTTCCCTGGGTTACTGCGTGACATCCTCACTGGCCTTCGGCTTCACCATTGCTGCCCACAGTCTATTCCCAGTGCAGTATCAGAAGGAAACTCTAAGTCATGTTGCTCTTCTACACAAAATCCTCCCTTGGCTTCCCACCTCCTTCAGAGTGACAGCCATCATCCTCATTGGCCCCCACGGCCCTGCTGCTCTGACCTGATCTCCCCCCTCCCTCCCCTCCCCTCCTCCACTCTAACCACCATGACCCCCTGTCTCTTCCTCAAGCCTTCTAGTCATGATCCCACCTCAGGGCCTTTGCACTGCTCTTCTGTGATATCCTCATGCTCACCTCTCACCTCCCCCAAAAGTCTACTCCCCTCTTTAGGGAGACCTTCCCAAACCACCTGTGTAACACAGGAGCCCTTCACCCTGGCACCCCATCTCCAGACTCCCCTGGATTCTTCCTCAAAGCACTAATCCCCACCTGCCCTACCCTGCCCTGTCTCTGTCCCTCCCATTTCCCCCGTACTTGCCTCATGAAGGCAGCTCTTTATTCTGACCACTATTGTATCCCCGGTGCCTGGACTAGGGCTTAGCCCATGTAAGGCACTCAGTGAATATCTACAGAATAAGTGAATTTTACACACGTTATTTTACTGACCATAGTAACAATCCCAGAAGACCAAGATATCAGTATCTCCATTCTACAGAAAAGGAGTATGAAGCTCAGAAAGGTTTGGTAATGTGCACAAGGCCACAAAGTGTACACCTCCACACAATCACTTAGCTCAGAGACACAGAGGGCATTGTCAGTCCTCCAAAGAAGGAGCCCACAGGCCAGTGCCTGCTGCCCTCCTGCCATGCTAAGCAGGCAGAGAACTGTGCAGTCTCTGTGAGCGCTGAGCCCTGACGGAGCTGTGACCCTGAACAGTCAGGGCAGCAGCTGTGGGAAGGGGCCGCTACACGGACGGCCCAGCTGCTCTGCAGTTTTCCCCTCAGCTCCCTCGAGGCGGGTCCTGTGACCAAGGGGCCCTCCCCGGGCAGGTCTTCCCACCAGCGGATGCCACGGGACTGTGTGCCTCTCACTCTGGAAATTTCTCAGTGAACAGTAAGAGTGGGTGCAATCCCCAGCACAGATGGGCAGAGACTGAGCCTGGTAGTCGTGTGGATGGCATTTCAAGAGGGAGAAGAGGTCAGCAGAGCAACAAGCTGCCAAGGGGCACCCTCCCCCCACCCCCCGAAGACGTGCCGGCCCGGAAACCCAGAGGGGCTCTGCAGGCTGGAGGGCTGCTTATCCAGGAAGGCTCTTGTACTAAACAGTGTCCTTGGGGAGCCCAAGGCTACACTCCCTGAAGAGGGCAGTGAGGAGTCTGTTGGAAATGCACACCTGGGTGAAGGTGTTCATCCTCCCCTTGGAGTTAAGGTCAGTAGAATGCGTCCACCTCCTGAGCTCCGGGCAGCCACCTGGCTGCTCACACATGGCACTGGGCTGGCTTGCATGAGTCTGCAAGGCAGACATTGTCCTCTGTTAAGGAAACAGGTGATCTCAGAGAGTAAGCAGATGTCAAGGATTCAGGTGACATATGGCAGAGCAGGAATTTCTTACTAGACCTTTTCTTTCGTGGACCTTATGCAAAATCTCTGGGCTCAGAAATGGGAGAATTTCTAGCAGCAGAGAAACTCTGCAGCAGCCCGGAGCACCAGGCTAACGAGCGCTGTCTTAGCTAATACAGTTTTAACAACAGAAATTCATCTCTCACAGCCCTGGAGGCCGGAAGTCTGAGATCAGGGTACCAGTGTGGTCAGGTTCTGGGAAGAGCCCTCCTTCTTGCAGACAGCTGCCTTCTTGGAGCAGGTGTGTCCTCACACAGCAAAGGGGGTGAGAGAGAGAGAGGTGTCTCTGGTGTCTCTTCTTGTAAGGACACTAATCCCATCAGGAGGGCCCACCCCCCCAACCTCATCTAAACCTGACCTCCCAAAGGCCCCATCCTCAAAACCAGCACACTGGGGGTTAGAGCTGTGTCAGCACATGAATTTGGAAGTAGACACAATTCGGTCCATAGAATGGGTCAATGTTGGGCAGGGTGGTGCTGTGCGGGTGCAAGCTAACGTGTGGGGGTGTCCCCTGGCTGATTGGAGGGGAGCATGAAGTTCCTGAGGGCCTAGGTGCAGTGTGAGGGGCACCAGAGAAGAACCAATACATAGAAACAGCACGCACCACGAGCCAGGGACGGTTCACAGCACTTGACATCCATTAACTCATTGAATCCAACACCCACAGTGATACCTGGTTACCATCCTCCCCATGTTACAGATAAGAAAACTGAGGCACAGGGGGATTAAATACTTTTCCCTGGCCACACAGCTAGGACGTGGAGGAGCCGGGATTTTAACCTGCCAAACTAGTTACAGAGTCTACACTATTCTCTTATCTCCCACCTTCGTTGAGATATAATTGACACATAACATTGTATAAATTCAGGGTATACAACTTAGTAATTTGCTCAATGTATATTGTGAGAAATGATTACAGCAATAGGGTTATTTAACCCCTCTGTCACCACAGATAATTATTGTGCATGGGTGTGTTCATGCATGTGTGCATGTGCATGTAGTGAGGACGTAGGTGGTATGATACAGTGTTGTTAACTAGTCACCACATTGTGCATTATGTCCCCAGAACTTACTCCTCTTATAACTGGAAGTTTATGACCTTTGACAAACGTCCCCCCATTTCCCTCACCCCCCAAAGCCCCTGGCAATCACCAGTCGTTCTGTTTCTATGACTTCGGTGTTTTTAGGTTCCACATCTAAGTGAACTCTTACAGTATTTGTCTTTCTGTCTGACTGATTTCACTGAGCATGATGTTCTCAAGTTTCGTTCATGTTGTTGCAAATGGCAGGCTATCGTTTTCACAGCCGGGTAATATCCCATTGTATATATACAGGATGGTGTGTACCGTATTTTCTTGATCCATTTGTCCATTAATGGACACTTAGATTGTTGCTGTGTCTTGGCTACTGTGAATAGTGCTGCAGTGAACATGGGGAGGCAGATGTCTCTTCCAGATAGTGATTTCATTTTCTTCAAATACATCTCCAGAAGTGAGATTGCTGGATCATATAGAAGTTCTATTTCTATATGTGTGAGGAGCCTCCATCCTGTTTTCCACAGTGGCTGCACCAGCTTACGTTCCCACCAACAGTGCACGAGGGGCTCCTTTTCTCCAAGTCCTCACTAACACTTGTTACCCCTTGTCATTTTGATAATGGCCATTCTAACAGGTGTGAGCTGATATCTCACTGTGGTTTTGATTTGCATTTCCCTGATGATCAGTGATGTTGAGCCCCTGGTCATGTGCCCATTGGCTACTCATATATCTTCTTTGGAAATCTTTGCTTCTATATTCATCAGCCATATTGGTCTGTACTTTTCTCGTCGTGTCCTTATCTGACTTTGGTGTCAGGGTGATGCCGGCCTCATAAAATGAGTTTGGAAATGTTCACACCTCTTCAGTTTTGTGGAAGACTTTGAGGGGTTTGGAGTTAACTCTTCTTTAAGTGTTTGGTAGAACCCACCAGTGACACCATCTGGCCTGGGCTTTCTTTGGTGGGAGCGTTTATTACTGAGTCAACCTCCTACTCATCACTGGTCTGTCTGATCTTCATGATTCAGTCCTGGCTGGTTGTGTGCTTTTAGGAATGTACCCATTTCCTCTAGACTCTCTTATTTGTTGGTGCATAATTGTTCTGTGCCTTTCGAACTAAGACAAATTTCAACTCCTTCCAGAGTAGACATTTCTTCTAGGAGATAGAATTACCAGGAAGGGGAAAGATTTGCCCTCTGTTCATTAGGTCTGGAACCCCAGGTACCCAGCAGATGGCTGACTCTGTTTTTGCACAGGTGGTTGCCCCAGCAGGCAATCGGGAAGATTCACTCTAGGACACAGCAGCCAACCTGCTCTGTCCGTGGATCTCTCCCCGGCATTCCACTCCTCTGGTTTAGCTGTCATGGTGGGGAGGCTGGGCTCATGACCCCCATGAACTGCTATCTGCCAGCAGAACCACTCATAGGTCAGACATCGGGTTTGTTGATTTTGTCAGGAAGGGAAAGCATGGAGACAAATATCACCAATGGCCAGTGGCCATGTGTACCGAGTGTCTGCTTTGTGGCAGGAATCATAGATGCAGAACACCATGCCATAACCAGGAATTATCATCCGTGGTGCTGTCGTTCTGATATGTGAATATTCTCTGTGTAATTCTGGGGTACTGGTATCCAAAGTCTGAATTTGGTTTACCTGGGGACCAAGGATCTGCATGCAAAGCACCTCTACCCGCCCCCCCCGACTCTTTGCCCTTCTTATTCCACATTTGCTTTTTCACAAATGTATCTATGTGTTATTGTCTGCCTCCCCTCCCTGGGTTATAAACTCCTGGAGGGCAGGGACCTCACTGTCCTGTTCACTGCTCTGTCCTCAAGGCCTGGCACA